ACCAATACAATTTTATTTGACTGCCACTTCAAATAGCCAATTTATTTTGAGGGAGGAGCTTTGAAATGGTGTGTGGGGGGGGGCACTAAAGAAAGTTATCACCATTTCCACAGCTTAGATTGTAGAGGAACAATGATAATAGGAATGGCAAGACCCCATTCCTGTAAATATCACACTTCTATGAGTAGTGTCAAATTATAGTGGAGTGGCAGATAAACTTATAATACAAGTCTAGCTTTTGCTATATGTGGGTACCAGCAAGTATGACCTTTGATTACTGGAACAGAAATAGAACCAAGAACATGTTAGTCTCAAACACTATGAAAATATGATTACCTACATGAAAAGCTATTTTAATATTTAGGGCAGGGAGAGAGGTGGAAACTCAAAATCTCAGTCAACAAGAATATAATTAATCATTCCACAAAGGTAGTCCTGATATCATAAAAAGGGCCAAAGCTGGATTGGAATATCTGAAACAGGTGATAATAAAGCAAGTAAACTTGTAAATTAGAGTTCATAATCCCCCATAGGGGGATTCAACTTGTTCAACTTAGACTCATTTAAAACAGAACAGGAGAGTGATCAGTTAGAATCCCATGGCTTTTTTCAACTCAAGGAAATACAGCATGGGGTAGTGGTCCTAAAATTAGAAGTTTTCCCAACAATAAATTCTATCCTCTCCACATCACAAATTGAAGAAAGAAAACAACCTCAAGTTCTGAAAATTTAAACTCATAAGATACAAAAAAAGCCAATATTAGTAGTTCTCTACAATCCAACTTCTAGCCACAATGGAAAGTGTTGCTGAAATCAAAGATTTCTATATGATGTTCAAACGCTAATGGTTCCAGTGTTCTTACATCTTCTAATTCGGCTTTTAATTGCTGACTGACATAGACTCAGTAGGAAAGGAAATAAAAGTAATACTTTCAAAATGTTCATATTTGTCTGAAGCTAATACCAGGAAATTTTAGGACTCTTCCTAAGGTATGTTGGCACCACCTATGTGTCATATTTCATTATTTTATAATGAGGCAAGCATCTAAAAAAAGTAATGCAGGTGACATTCTATTAAAAGAAAAAAGTAAAAGAGTTTTCAGAGGTGGCATGATACTGATATAAGGAACTATTTATCTGTGCTAGTGCCTTTTGCAATACAGATTTAAACAAGTCATTTATGCACTAAATATTTAACTCAAATATTTTATCTGAGTTTTCTATAAAAAAATCATCTAAATGTGCAGTACACTTTCTGTGGATATGAACATGGGACACTGGAAGAAGGGACCTAAATCAAGATTGTTTCATTTTATACTACTATGTTTTCTTCATCTTCCTTTTCTAGACAAACCAATCATCTTTCTCAACTTCCTTATCTTGGTAACTAACCAGAAACTAACTATGGGTGAGAGATGAGCTTGTTTACTGTAATCTTTGTGGTTCTGTCAGGGCTTGGCATCTCTGAAAATTAACACTGGCTCTATAAACCCTGTGACCTTCAAAAACGGTCAGATCCAGACCTTGGAATTCAGACTCTCTCTATGATGGACCAAACTTCAATACTAAATCCAAATACGCCTAAACTTCATAAAAATGCAGATTCATATCAGATCTCAGATCCAAACATTGTGACTCAGGATCATCTCAAATCATCCAATTCTTCAAGTTTTCTGGTCCTTTCATGACTTGACTAGACCAGGATTTAGGAAGACCTGGGCTGTGACTCTAGGCAGTCCAGCCTGTATTTAATTAGACTGAAGCTAGAGAGACAGTGAGAATGACAGGGTTATGTTTGTGCTCAGCATCCTCAATAAAGAATTTGCTTTGTATTCACTACAGTCAAGGCCTGTCTCTTACCTATCACAACAAATATTACATGTTTCCTCTTTTTCTCATGGGTACAAATATCAGATTGCCATCCCACACAATCATGCTGCATAAATATCATATCGTTACAAACAGTTCAACCCAGTCACATTGAAGCCATGGCATTCAAAATGTAAAAAGATTTTGAATTCTAAATATTCCATCCAAGAGACAACCACCCCAAAAGTACATAACTTTTTCAAGTAACTTCTAATTAATTTAGACAATGTAAGTTTCAAGTAACTTCTAATTAATATCTAATCTAATAAGTAAGTTTCAAGTAACTTCTAATTAATTTAGAAAAAAAAATTTCTAATGAATTTGGCAGGCCCGTACTCTAGTTACTCATCACAGTTCATTCATCCCTAATACAATGGCAAAATGCAGCAAAATTTACTAGTCATTGCAGCGTCTTCTTAGAAAATGGAGGAGCATTATGTTTTGAAATTTATTACAAAATTCCTGTGATGTAGCAGCCACTATTAAACCATCATATTTGAAGACTTCAAAAGCAGCTGGTAATATCTGAGGTCAAATGACTTATGCTTTAAAAACCTCTTTTCATAGTCTAAACCCAGAAGTCTTCTATATTTGTTGACGGTAGTATCATATTTGCATCCTGTCATATACACCTATGTACTTTTAAAATACATAAAATACCAGATCTTATTTTGTTTCCTGTTTCCTAGAACATTGCTTAGAAGTTTTCACCCGAGACTGTGACACCTGTCAGTACAATCTATGGTATGATAGGTCAAGAGGAGTAGTTAAAGGAATCAAAGAAAGCAGGCATAGACTCATAGACTGTAAAGCCAGTAGGGACCATCACGATCACCTAGTCTGACATCTTCCATATTGCAGGCCACAGAACCTCACCCACCCATTCTTGTAATAGATCCATAACCTTTGGCTGAGTTACTGAAGTCATCATATCATGATTTCAAGACTTAAAATTACAGAGAATTCACCATTTATAGTAGCTTAAACCTTCAAGTGACCTGGAACCCACACTACAGAGGAAAGTGAAAAACCCCTAGGGTCTCTGCCAACCTGACCCAGGGTAAAATTCTTTCCCAACCTCAAAAATAACATGACAGATTATATTGCATAAGATTAAGATATGTGAAAAGTGTCCTACTATACAACTCTGTTTAAAAAAATACCATAGAAAAACTAGGTAAATAAACACTGTGTTTGTACTTTCCTATACATGTTACATATGTCCGGAAATTACACTTCAGCAATGAGATAGATATTTTTTTTAAAAAAGAAAAGAATCAGTTTAGTGGGTTTTAAAAAAGGTGTATCTGAGTACAGCACCTTTAGAGCAACAACTGTGATGCCCACGTACTTTTAATATCTCCTAGGCAATAGTTATACCATCCAGTATACAATGAAACTTGCTCTTGCTCTTAAGTATATATAAACTTGCTCTTAAGTATATATAAAATGTAATGAAATATTATGTTTTTGAGGGAACTGAATCAAATCAACTAGGTGCAATAAAATTTTAGGAAATATCATATTATGATAACCATTCTGCCCATGTTTGTTTACTATATAAATATACATAAGTGCATAGACAAAATTTTTGTACACAATTGTAAAGTTAATGGAAAGGTGGTCCAGTGACATTACACACACACACATGCAAAGTTTTCCAAACTTGTGTGCATCAAATTCCTAAAATTAAATTTAGTCAAGTAAATAAAAGTAGCCTGATTTTCAGAGGTGCTGGGCATTCCCAAATCCCACTGAAGTCAGCAGTATCTTTGAAAATAAGAAAGCATGTACTATATATCAATTTGAGACTAACAAAATATTTAAAATCTCTGGAAAGAACAGTCTATTACCACAATATCTGATGACACATCAATTACTCTCACTATTGAAGAAGCACTGTCATTAATCGGAGAATGTTTTTATTGCAGTCAATATGTGTGTGGGGGGGGAGAGTGTCAACTCCTATAAGACAAAATAAGGGTTGATTTTTCTATTTTAAATAACCACAAACTAATTGCAACTCCCTAAATTCTGGGAGTAAACAGGTAGTTAAAACATTCTGCATCCAAGTTTGTGTGAAAGATTCTCTTTCACCACTACCACAATTTAAGAATTTTCTCATTTAATTATAATTTAGCTGTATTTATTTAAAGATGTCAAATTCAAAGGTAAAGACAACTTTATCCTCTTCGTTTAAACAATCTGTTTCCACACTAACCTATCTCAAATTCCCCAAGCAACTGTTCTAATTGAAGTACAGTAGCCAAATAAATCCCATTATTTAGGTCAATGTCTGGGAGTTTGTTTATTGATGTTGTTGTTAAAACATTTATCATGTTGGGAAATCTATTTGCAGAGAGAATCCTTGGAATATAAATTTTAAAAATGCTATTGATTGCAAAACAAAAAAAATCTACACAATTATTTTCCTCAAATTTCCTGTGCAATTAACACTTTAATTGCAATGTAAATAATTGGCTAATTAATCATAACACGTTTGTTATTTGAAAACTAAAATATAAAGTATATAATATTTTTACTCATTTTACAGTCAAATGATTTTAGAAGGGAATAGTCTAACTCAATCTTAAAATGCTTTATCATCACATATCAGCTGTACCAAGCACCTGGAAATAGCAGGTGAAATAAACTAAATATTGCAGCTCTGCCATCTGATACATAAAATGAACCGAACATAAATGAATGTTTAAAGCATTCATTATAGAATAAACGTTCTTGAACACTTTGCAAAGTTGGCATATGTATCTGTGTTTTAAAATCGAGAGCAAGAGATTAGGTCATTTCTTAAAATAAAAGACAACAGATAAACGGACTGGGATATCGAGCTAACATTTCACACGCTCATACTGTTGCTATTTAAGTAGTGTAAAGTATACATCATGTATACAAATTTTCCAATAATATTCGAACAATAAAGGACTGATATCTCTGGTGTTCTGAAACCATGTTGTACTCCTACAAATGGAACATCAGAGCAGCAGCTTGTAACAAGACAACTGGAGGCAAAATTGTAACATAGTTACATTTTCTGGGGGGAAAAAATCAGGAGCGAAAGTTTCCTAATGTCATTTGCCCAACTGTTTCAGAGAAATTAAAAAGCCTCCTACCTTTCTGTACACCAGCATGTTTGGGGATTCATCAGCCACCCCGTTGCTGCTCTGCCCATAATTATTTCCTTGCGCCATGTCCCAATGCTATGGTCCTCTGGCAAAGGTTGCGCTGAGCAATTGGCCACTGTGAAAGGTAAGAGCGATCTCTGTGAGATACAGCTGCAGCAGGTCTCCTTCCCCCTACTGACGGTGATTAATAGAGCTGACTTACTCCCATCACTTTACCATCATCCGTTTCTCCGCCCGACATTTACGCTGGGGCAAAACAGCTAATTCCCCGTTTACTGCCATTACCCCCTTGTAAATACTGAATGAGTGTAATGTACTAACTCAGTTTCGACTTTAATGAATTGTCACTTCACACCGCCCCGCTGAGCACACTCTGGTAGAGGCATCTCCCTACCCAACGCTCCCTCCCCGCCCCCGAATACTGGGCACCGCATCGTTCCCATCGCCTGTGTCCCGGTGCCAGGGACTGCCCAGTAGCCGGCTGCCCTCCCCGCTGTTCAGCCGGCGGTTCGCCCCGCACCCCGCGCCCCAGCAGCCGCCCCGGGGCATCTCCCGCTGCAGCGCTTCCCCCGGCCCGTGCGGCGCTCACCCCCCTGCACAAAGAGCCGTGCCAGCCCCTGGAGTGGGGGGAGCCCCCCGGCCCCCCACGATGCCGGCTCCGTCGCCTCCTCCCCCCGCCTCCACGGGCGGAGGGCGCCGGCGGCTGCAGAGGGCTAGCCGGGCTCTGAGCAGCCAGCCCCACAGCCCGCTGCGGGGGTAGGGTTCACCGCGCCCCCCCTCCGCCCCCCGCCAGCCCCGGGGGGCTCCGCTCTCCCGCCGGCCCGGCGCCTCCAGGCAGCCCCGCGGCACGTTCGGGCTGGCGCGGCCGGCGGCTCTGCCCTGCGGCAAGAAGCCCGCGCCTGGGCTTTCAGCACCGCGGACAGCAGCCCCGGAAGCCCTCAGCCGCCCGGGCTGGCCGGCACCTCACCCGCGCCGCTCTGGGGGGGGGGGGGGGGGGGTGGCGAACTCCCCCCCCTACCCCGCTCCCCGCCCTGCCTATTTACCTCCCCGGGCCAAGGTCACTGGCTGCACGGCGGCAGCGGCTCCTCTCCTCCGCCTCCCACCGGCGTGCGCCGCGCGGTCCGTGTCAGCCGGCAGCGGAGGGCGGGATGCGAGGATCGGTCATCACACAAACAATGCGCACCCGGGCGGCTGCTGCTGCTGCTGCTGCTGCTGCTGCCGCCGCGGAGGCTGCGACTTCCCCCGCCGCCTTGCACAAGCGGCCGCGGCTCCCCTCCCTGGAACGGAGCCGCCTCGTCACGTGAGGCAATGGGACGTCAAAGGTGCTGCGGCTGCAGCGCCAGGCGACTGGCAATCCCGCCTGCTCTCCGGCTGCTGCTCTCAGCCCTTCCTCCCCGCCCCCGCGGGAGGCAGCCAAGGAGCTGCAGCTGCCTGCAGGTTTGGCAGCAAGTTGTCAACGGGATTAGGCAACGCGGGAGGGCTGGCCAAGAATAGAATATGGGCTAATGGGATGGATGATTGAGCGGGGCAGCAGTGGGGGAAAGTGCCACATCCGCTCTCTTCCTCCAGCATACGGCCCTGACTGATCATCCACTGCGCCCGGGCTTGTGCCTGTTTTTAGGGAGTGAGGCCAGCGTTTTAAAACTTGGGTCATAGAGAGCCACTTTCATGGCGAAAGGGCCTACTTTTCAGAAATGGTGAAGCTGCTGCAGCTCTCATTGACTCCCCCGGAGACTGGGAATGATCAGCGCCTCTGGAGGGGAATTACACCCCTTATTTAGGGAGCTGGATTTTAGGCATCCAAATTTGCTAAGCTAAAATTTTCTAACAGAAAATATTGGTAATAGCAGCAGGAGGAGTAAGCCATCTTTAGGGTGAAGAGATTTTCCTGTGGCACGCTGCCTCTTGAGGAGCGTGCTTTGGGACAATCATAGCAATTGGAGCTGGAAGAGACCCCTGTATGTAATTACAGACTCTCTCTCAGCAGTGGGAAGGAGAGGATAATGACTTTGTCCTTCCAGACATGTCCTGATTGAGATGCTCTTCCTTGCACAGCAAACAGCCAATCAGCAGCTGACCGGGAAATAAAGTTGTTTATTTGTTAAATGCCTACAACGGTGGTGTCACTTGCTGTGCAAAACACAAAATAAGACAGTCCCTGCCTCAAAGAGCTTACAAGTGAACTGATAGAGGAAGTCTGCTCTCTGTTGCTGTGAAGGTAGAAGAGCAGAGATGTCTCAAAGAAGGAGTCCAGCTTGTGAAGGAGTCCAGGCCTATTGTCCACCACATATACCAGCACCCTCCCATAACAGATCATGAATGGGAAAAAAACTGGTTAAGAAATTACTTAAACAAGTTAGATGTCTTCAAGTCAGCAGGGCCTGATGAAATAGATCATAGAAACTTAAGGCTGAAGAGATCTCAGTGTCATTAGCAATTATCTTTGAGAACTCCTGGAAGACAGGAGAGATTCCAGAGGACTGGAAAGGGGCAAATATAGGACCCAACTATAAAAAAAGATTAAGAACCCAGGGAATAATACATGAGCTAGCTCAACTTCTGTACACAGAAGGATATTGGAGCAAATAAACAATTTGTAAGTACCTAGATGAAAATAAGGTGATAAGTAACAGTCAGCATGGATTTGTCAAGAAAAAATCATGTCAAACCAACCTATGACAGGGTAACAAGCTTTGTGGATAGGGGAGCTTCTCATAAACAAACTAGAGAAATATAGCTTTGACAAACCTTCTATAAAGTGGGTACACAACTGGTTGCAAAAGCATATTCAGTTGTTATCAATGATTCACAATCAAGCTGGAAGGGAATATCAAGTGGGGTCCAGTTCTATTCAATATCTTCATAAATGATTTTAATAATGGCATAGAGAGTACACTCATAAAGTCTGATGATGATGATGCCAAGCTGGGAGGGTTTGCAAGTACTTTGGTGGATAGGATTAGAATTCAAAATGATCTTAACAAAGTGAAGAAATGGTTTGAAATTGAATAAAGACAAATGGAAAGTACTATACATAGGAAGGAATAATCAATTGCACAAATACAAAATGGGAAAAGACAGCCTATGAAGCAGTCCTGCAGAAAAGGATCTGGGAGTTATAGCGGATCACAAACTAAATATGAGTCCATAATGTAATAGCATTGCAAAAAAACCCAAACATTACTTGGGGAGGTATTAGCTGGAGTGTTGTAAGCAAGACATGAGAAGTAATTCTTTCTCTCTATTCAGCACTGCTAAGGCCTCAACTGGAATATTGTGTCCAGTTCTGTGCACCACACTTCAGGAAAGATGTGGACAAATTGGAGAAAGTCCCCAGAGGAGAGCAACAAAAATGATTAAAAGGACTAGAAAACATGACCTCCAAGGAAAGTTTGAAAAAATTGGGTTTGTTTAGGCTGGAGAAAAGAAGACCGAGTGGGAATATGATAATAGTCTTCAAGCATATAAAGGGTATTAAGAGGAGGGTGATACATTGTTCTCCTTAGCTCCCGAAGACAGGACAAGAAGTGATGGGCTTAAACTGCAGCCAGGGAGATTTATTTTGGCCATTAAGAATATTTTCCTAACTGTGAGGGTAGCTGAGCACCTGTGGAATCCCTGACATTGGACGATTATAAGAACAAGTTAAACAAACATCTGCCAGGGAAGGTCTAGATAAAACTTAGTTCTGCCTCAGGGCAGGAGACTGGACCAGATGACCTATTGAGGTCCCTTCCAGTCGTACATTTCTATGATTTCTCTGCGTAGAGGAAGGTACAGGCAAGGGGAAGTTTGGTGTTATGATGTGCATTATGGGGGACGGAGACCAAACTGAGAGGTTCTGGGTACCCAGAACTGAGATGGAGGCAAGCGGTGGAGTCAACGTACTGTGTTAGAGGAGAAACCACCACATTAAGAACTTCTAAAGGGATAGAACCAGTTTTGGAAGGAAGAGTTGAATTGAGTGCTTCTGAGAGGGACAGAGTTAAGTTAGAGGAGATCAGAGAGCCAAGCTGAAGATGTTGGGTGGCAGTGGCAGCTGAGGGGCTCTTTAGGAAAGTTGAGGGTGGTTTCAAAAGGACAAAGGCAAGTCTGCAGATTCAGAGGCACATGGAGAGTGAGGACCATTAAAGTCCTCTGGGGTTGGCAGAGGTGACTTGGGTGTCATCTCCCTGGAGCATAGTAGCGTCTTGCTTTTGGGGGGGGGCGCATCTAGGAGAGTCTTTTAGCAGGACAAAGACAAGTTGCGGTTTTTGTGGGAACAGAGGCAAGTAGAAAGGGAAATGGGCTGAAGCAGAGATGAGGAGGAATAGAAGTTAGAGTGGGGTCTCTGGAACAGAGACTGGGGGAGAGGATGGAGAGATCTGATAGATGAGTGGGAATGTTCTGGCGGGAAAGCAGAAGTGAAAGGGGGAGTTGAGGTGACCAAAGTGAAAATGAAGGTCAACAGGGACAGAATTGAAAGGGGGAGATGTTGAGGGATAGAGGAGGGGAGGTTAATGTCAGAGTGATCATGCTTCATGGTGGGGATAAGAAGCAGCAACAGAAAATGGAATTCTTATGCTGAGGAGCAGAAAGAGAGGGAGAACAACATGATGGGGCAGAGGGAAAGAGAAAAGAGGTATCAGACAGAGGGATTTGAATGTGGGAATAGTTTGGTGCTTTGAGATGGGAGGGAGAAGCATAAGGAAAGCAAAGAAGAGGAGCAAGAATAAGATTTTGGTGAGTGTATGAAAGGGAAGGAAAGAAGAAAAGAGGTGAAAAAGAGTGAAAATACTGGGTGTGGAAAATGTGAAACTGAAGAGTGGGCAAAGGGGCTGAAGATATTCTTGCTTCCTGCTAAGAATGCACATGGAGTGCACTAGATATGGTCCCCAAGTCATGACATTTGGATCCAAATTTGAACCTCCAAAAGTTCAGGTTTGTTCAGACTCAGTGATTCAGTCCAGTCATTAGAGACAGAAATAAACCACATTTCCTAAAGTATGCATCTGGGGTTCCAAACTAAGCATCACCTCTTGAATGGAGAGTACTAAAGAGCTCAGATAGCTCAGTGATAGGGTTTTATATTGCACTAGATAGATACAGTGGAAGAACATAGTTCTTAAGATGTATTAAGAACACAAATCACCTAACCTGCTGGGGAGCATCAAAAACAGCACAAACTGAAACACTTATTGTATCAGATTGCATTTTAACAGCTTTTATGAGGGGGCTATAAATGGCAATGGCACAAAGTACCTTTTTAAATGCAATTTTATCTTTTGTAAAACCTCACAGGAAAATATTAAAGATTCACATATATTCCTTCCTTCCAATTACTCAGATAATGAACAGAGAATGCATTTTAATAATAGTATGAATTAGAATGGCATGGAAGAAAATACCAGTGGGTTTCCAATATTGTTATATTATATTACTTTCTTACAGTAATGTCATCTTGTTGATTTAAGTGAGAGAACCAACAAGAAGAAAGCCAATTTGTTCTGGAATCCTTATAGTATGGATGAAGTAGTTTATATTTAGGCTTGGCAGAATTTGATTTTTTTTTTTAATTGTGACAGATATCAATGTTTATTTTTAAGCATTTTTCTATTTTATCAATTTAAATTTTCACAGTTGCAGTAAATTATGAGGGACTCAGACAAGTGGGGGGTCCTGAATAATTTGATGATAGTAGATGTTGAGATTCAAAAAGTTGAAAGCTTTATGACCAATAAAACAAATTGTCTACCTGACATATCAAAATATAAAAAGTAAATATTAATAAATCAAACTCTAATAAGTTCTCAAGCAGCATTTTTTTACTTCACCTATCTGTAAACATCAGGTATCGTCATCAATAGAATTTTTTTTTTCAGTTTGTGTATGTACAGTGAAATCAATGTTTACCAACATTTACTGATAAAAATCTAATCCTTCCAAGCTTATCTATATTTTAAGATGTGTCTCTGATGTATCCATTTCCTATTAACTATTCCAATTTCAAATTCTGGCAGAGTTGTACTTCTTTGGGATAGTGGAATACTCTGCTAAGGAGAGGACTAATTTATTCTACAACCCATCCAATTTTTCCATTGTTCTGACAGCCACATCAAAGTAGCAAGCAAGACTGAAGGTGAAGCCTTCCCAATTGCAGTATGTGATTTTATCCACACAGATCCTAAAACATTGTTTATGCTTTTTTTTATATTGTTTTGACTAACCTCACAAGTCAAGCAAGGGATAAGTCATGTTAAATCAGTTCAGTGATGAGTGTATATTGCATTTTCTTTTAACGTGGAAATTTTCTTCCATCTTAAAATTTTGCAGACCTCTTATGGGAGCTTTGCATATGTAAGAACTGCAGGACAAGACCACAAATGGACGATAGATAAGAATC